CTTTGCTAACAGATTAATAAAGTATTAACTTACTGACCACTCGTTGAATGACGCGATCCTTATGATTAAAATTCTAAGATTAGATGTTCCATCACTAGTACTTTCGAAACATTCACGTCTTCATCGCCAGATATTAATATTAGAAATTTACCTGAATTGAAAAAAAAAAATTAAATGTGGTTCCATGCAAGAATGCCGAGAGTACCATGTTCTGCCATTCTTTTACACAAACTTATAAGTTATGTTATGAGCTGCTTTCCTCTGTCTATCTTGCTTTCAATATGTCCTGAGAGTGTTACATATTCTAAACCCCCTGTCTTCATTATGCGCCCAATAAATTTCAACTGTCTGTTTCTAATGTTAAGTATGTGTCCTATTTGTTTCCATTTTCTCTAAAACACGCCATGGTATTCTCAGCATCCTTCTGTAGAAACACATTTCTGTTGCCTCAGGTCTCCTCTCGGTCTGTGATGTACACTTTCCGAATTCAACGAACAGATTCAACAGCTTTGTGACACTGTTTAAAATAATGCCTTACCATTGTGTCGTAGACTAGGACTCAGCATATATCCTTCTCTTCCAGACTAGAGTGACAATAGACTGCTCCTACTTAATAATTATGGCAAGTAGCCACATTAGAGTAGGATTTGAGGAGTAGTTGATCAACTCAATGAGTATTTAATAAACCCCTTCTTTTTTTCTATCTAGTTTTCTTTTCCTTCGATAATCTCTCTCTCCATCTCTCTCTCTAACTACGACCCTTCTAATTCTCAGCTATATTGAACAAAGACAACATTTTAACCAGAGGTGGAATTCTACCGGTTCACACCAGTTCACACCGGTTCTCGCGGACCGATTCTTATAATTATAAAAGCTTGGCGAACCGGTTGTTGGATTATCCGAAAATAATCTCATATATTAATAGCCGATATATAATAGCTAAAATATAATTAATACCACTGCTATAAGGTCTTTAAGTTTTTTTGTGATGAACATAATTAATCCTGACAAATGAAATCGTGTTGAAGTTAAAAATGTGGCAAATCTTCTCGTCATAAATGTGATTGGTCTTCCATTGAATCTTTGGGTCTGCAATGCTTCAGTTGGAATGTGGCTAAGAAACCATAACACAGCGTTAATACTTGAGTAAAAAAGCATTATACTTTTGAACAGAAATATAATGAGAACAAAATTTCAATCTGGAAATATCTTAGCGAATAAATGTTTTCTATTAAATTATCAAAATGGTTTAATTTCTTTTGATAATATAAAGTGATTTGTTTCCATTCGCAGATTGAAAAGGAATAAGCAGAATAGATTACTAAAGATTGAACCAGTTACCGAAAATTTGGAAAGCCATTATTGATTATAACACATTGTTAGACTCCATACTTGCAGACGCCATTTTGGTATCTGGAACAAAAGGTGCAACTGAATAGTTCATATAATGATATAATATAGAATAATTATATTATTATTAATAGAGGGAAAACTGAGTGTCTTCAAATATCTATATGAAATAATATTCGAAATAAATTCTGTAAAAGACAAAATATTTTTTATGCATTTTAATAATAATAATAATAACAACAAAAACAACAACTAGTAGTAACCGTGAAAATGTTACGGTTTTTGCTATGAGAATTTTTCTTGTGAATCATCATTTTTAACTTAATAATTGAATGAATTCCTTGCGATTTCTACGACAATAAAATACACGGGGAAATTTTCCTGGTGCACCGTTAAATAATTGAGCTTAAAATATTTAACAAAATATCGCCATAACAATCATAATATGAAGGCAGGTCATTAATTAACTAAAAGGGTACAAATGAAAACATTTAAAATTTACAAGTTTTTTTCCATTTCACTGAAGCAGACGTTAAACACAAAGAGTTTGCTTTCTTTCTTTTTTTTTTTCATTCTTTCTTTCCTTTTCTCAATAAAACCAACTTGTGACTTTGATGTCTTTCCCGCCTTTCCTCGCTATCAATACAAAATAGTCCATTATGTGTCGGGTATTGGCAGGGTGTAACGTCGGCGCTAAGGAACAAGCAGAATAATAATATGCTTAGTAATTCTCTCTGGTACGTCATGGGGTCATAGAATGACTTTGGACATGTACATAGAATCACTTTCTGAAAGAAAATCTGAGAAAAAAAGAAAATATTTCTGAAGCAATCCAATATTTAATAATAATATTAACCCATGGCTTCCTCCTATTTTCTTTTTATCTCAACGATAATTATAAACTGAACTTTTAATAAGTGGGTATTTTTCATCTGAAATTTTATTTTAATCGAGTCACCCCATTCAAGGCAGTAAAGCTACTAAGACAAAAGGGGTTACTGAGTTTGGAGCAATTAGAAACAGAATCATTATTAATGAACGAGAACAAGAGTAATCAGGAGGACAGTAGATAGCGACTGATATTTCATTTAAAGTTTTGAAAATTAAATTTATCTGGAAAGCATGGAGCCGGAATGGAGTTCCACAAGCAAGAAAACAATGTATGACACTAAAACACCGGTCCTTGCCAGAACACTGAAGTTAAGCAATGTCATGCCTAGCCAGTACCTAGATGGGTGACTGCTTACAGATGCTGTAAGTTTCGAAGCGCGATGTGCTGGTGGTGTAATGGATGACGTTTCAAAATGGGAAATTAAAGAGCCGAGTTCAAATTACAGTCGTGCTCGTTACATTCGCTTACACGCAAATAACCTTGTAAAATCATGAATTGAAAATAGGCATGATTCACTAAGTGTGCCATATCCGCCCCCACCAACACACATTGGACCACAGACTGGTAACTTTACGGCGGTAGGTAACCGAGCCGCCAGATTAGGACCAATAATATTGCTGATTCTTCTTTGGATTTATCAAGAATATCTAAATATATAGCAGGAGCACCAGACCAGAAGTGATAGCATTATTCAAAATAAGGACGAATGGTAGACTTATAAATTTGCGTCGACGTTACTCACGCCTAAATATTATTGCTCGACGAAAGATTGTTGTGCTAATTGTCTGGTCGACGTTACTCCAACAAAGCGTACGAAAGTCTAACACACTGAGTCAAATTAACAAATTAATAATAGAGAGTGGCTCCGAAACTCTCCTGATTTAAATCCAATCGAGAATCTGTGGTCTGTCTGCAATAACGACTTTGTGGAACGGACATACGAAGTACTAACATGTGCACAGGGCCGTGGTTTATTGAAAAAGTACCAAAAAAGTAAATAATAACGGAATTATTCGTTTTGCTTCAATTAATTTCCACAAGGGTGTATATATATATATATATATATATATATATATATATATATATATATATATATATATATATGTGTGTGTGGGTTTTTTCTTTTATTTATATTTTCCTTGTGTCTCTTCAAACCAACGCCTTCTTTTTCCATAAATTTAAACTAGACTTATAAACCATAATTTCGGAAAGTTAAAGTCTTGGTAAAATATATTTTCCATCTCTGAAATCAGAGAATATAGGATCTTTTAAGGAAAATGCTCACAATATACGGGTAAAAAACCACCAGTTTAAACTAACATCAAGTGGATCATATTATAATTGTTGATTGTCTTTCTTTTCGTTAGGTAACACGACCGTTACGCCCTGTCAATACCTCATAAATAATGGACTATTTCGCGTTTTGATCACGTGGAAAGACGGGAAAAGACTTTACTTGGTTTCAGTGAGAAAATGAAAGAAAAAAGGGAATATAGCAGTGATGAAAGAGAAGCAAATTCAACTCATAAGAACAGATACTACACTTTGATCTCTCCTAAAAAGCCCGAGAACGAGGGCGACCAAGATAAAAGAATCATTTATCAGACACACTGTATCTAATGTCAGGAATCGAGTAAGAGTAAGGGTTACAAAAAGAAAGAAAGAAAGAAAGAAAGAAAGAAAGAAAGAAAGAAAGAATAAGTGTTTAACGTCTCATAAATAATTCCCTTTTGCTCAGATGGGAAGAGGGAAATAAATCTATTTAAAAATTTCCAAGTTTCCATTTGAATTCAAGAAAATAGGAATTTTAAGCAACGTGGTCACACTATCTAGAAAAGGCATCAGTTTAAACTGACAACAGAAGGATTTGGGTTAATAATCTCTTGATATCGTAGAGAGTTTCGATGCGTAAATGAAATATGATTTGAAGTTTGCAAAAACCGAAAATACTTTTCATGTACATATGATATACATAAAAAATTAATAATATATTTACCATACAGATGTCCTGTAGATATATATATATTAAATTAGCTTTTTCCCCTCAGGATATGGACGATCACAGCTTCCCACAAAGATAATGACACTTCACAAAACCGGAGGGCACAACGTCTGAAACGCTGTGCTAACAACAAAGATAAAGAAAATTCGACTGTAAATAACGTAAATGAAAGCGTTGAAGTTAAAATATAGTTGAAGTTTGGTTTATTACAGAGTAGCTTCCCTTTGTTTACTTGCGAAGGATTATACTATAGATTTATACATAGTATGGGATTTGTACTTAATGGCTGACTTCGGCTGTCTTTGCTCGATTATTCTGTAAATACTGGTTTTTAATAATCGGTTGATGTGAACGAGACCATCTGAAGATGGGCGGGTCGTATGGCTGTCTTATTGAAGGACTCAAACCACTGGTTCCAACATCAAAAAGAATTGCCTTTCAGATGCCAATGTTTTCTAATGATGGGGTTTTAAAATTACACGTATTGATGATTAAATCATTCATATGAAGTTCAGTTTCTTTGATATTATTATAAGAGCAACGTGTTTAAAGCAACGTTGAAAAATGATCTCTGGGGAGGTGAGAAATGTGGCTCTCAAGGAGCCTAGAAGAGATTTCAACCGTTGATATTCGATTTATTCACCCAGCTCTAGATAGGTCTTGTCACCTGTCAGTCCACAAGCGCATAACGAAGTCTTCTACTAGAATAATTATAGAGACTATATTCAACGCTACCTTGCTAGGCCTGTCGCATAGCTTACACCATCTGGTATTCCCCATCGGTCACCCATCTAAATACTAACCAGATTGAAGTTTGCTTAACTTAGGTGATCGGGCGAGAACTGGTGATTCGACGTGATATGGTCATATGCCTTTAATATAACACCAAGCTGGGTATACCGGCTGTAACACCTAGCTGCGTATACCGGTTGTAACAGCAAAACTGTCCCTAAATTATCCATCGCACAAAATGTTTAATATCTAAAAATAACACTAAACTAATTGAGTTTCGTTTTTCTAGGTTTTCAGATAAGACGTTTAGCCACCTTGACACCGTTTGTCGAAAGAATTACTGAAAAACCCTTTGAGTTATTCAACTAGAAAGCGAACAGGTTAAAATCGTTTTGTGTCAACCCCACTGTCTTCTAAACTGAGCAATGGTGAGAGAAAAAAAATCATTCAGTTCTTCAGTAATGGTACGAATATTCATACCCTGGCTTCCATCTTCAAAATCCATTCAAGGACCATCAAGAGAATGGTGAATAAATTTTAAAAAAACAGGTAACAGTAGAGAGGAAAACTTCAACGGGAGGTCAAAACAGAAAGAGGGATCATCATTTTAACTTAGAGCGAAATAAGATTTAATTGTTCAAAATAGCGTTCAATAGTATTATAAAAAAACTTCGAAAATTCCAATAAGATATCTTTAATCATTTCTAAGAAACAACGGTCTAACAATTGGACAAGTTTGCAGTTACAAGATATAGAAGATTTTGCTAGACAATTTTGTATATATATATATATATATATATATATATATATATATATATATATATATATATATATATATATATATATATATATATATTTTTATATCTAAAAAAATGCTAAACTGGGTTTCTTTTTCCAGGTTTTTAGATAAGACGTTTAGACATCCTGGGACCATTTGTCGTAAGAATCATTGAAAAACCCTTTTGAGTTATTCAGCTAAAATAGAGCAGCAAGATCGTTTTGCATTAGCTCTACTGTCTTCTCAACTGAGCAATGGTGAGAGGAAAAAATCATTCAGACCTTCAGTAATGGTACCAGCATTAATACTCTGGCTTCCATCCTCAAAGTTTATTCAAGAACCATCAAGAGAACAGTGAAGAAATTTAAAAGGAAGGAACAGTAAAGAAGAAAACTGGATCAGGAAGTCACAACAGGAGGAGGAATCCTCATTTCGACTTAGAGCTGACGAGATCAGTTAGAAAAGATCCAACTCAATCCATAAAACGTTTGGCACATGAGAGAAGAGTTTCAGCTATTACAGTCCAAAGAGCATTTAAAAAAAATTGAAAATGAAATCGTGCGTAAAACGTGTGAGACTTCGTGTTAGAACAGGGCAGAAATAAGTTGGAAAAATGATCCTGGAATAATATATATATATATATATATATATATATATATATATATATATATATATATATGAACTTTATTTCCACCCTTCATGAGCTTCCGCTCCTTAGATATCATGTCAATTTTGCTTACGATCGATTTCATTACGATTCTTCTTTTAAGCATGGAGAGTTATTAGACATTCTTATTGCTCAAAGCAAAGTCCATTAATGTTATAAAAACCTTAGGGAATTCCATTAAGATATCTTTAATCATTTCTAAGATACAACGTTTCAAAGTTTAATCTAACAATTGAACAATTTTACTGTTACACTATTTGGATAATTTTGCTGTTGTATCCGGTAGACAAAATGGCTTCATAATTTTATCAAGATATTTGCGCGAAAGGAAACGCAATGGCTTCGGCTGGAATTTTAACTCGACACGCCAGTCCAACTCTCCTGCTGCTACACTACGCGCCCATCTATTACAACGTATGCTACGACTTACATGTTATCTTTCTATAATCATTACATAGTCGTATTTTTGTTAAACTCAGACGGCTTTTTCCTAAAAAAAAAAAAAAAAAAAAACGTCGCTTTGGCATACAATCGATATATGATGACGATCGATATCTGATAACGAAAATCACTGTATATTAAAAGTATGAATAATGTAGATAGATATTCGCGCTCATCTGAATAATATGGATTTACAAGTACTAGACTAACTGCTAGGGAGAAAGGAATCTTTGTCCAAATTGAAATCAAAGTTTTCCTTCTCCTAAGTGAAAGTGTAGTAACGAGTGTCACCAACCCGATTTTGTGGATTGTATCTAAGGTTCTCGTTAGTTCTACACCCTCGAAAATGGACCATTTTTAAATATATATATGAAAAACCCTTATTCCGTTTGTCTAATGCAAACACCTATCCATTTAAGGAGACATTTTAGCATAGACTGTTTTTTTTTTTCTGATGATATAGAACCTGGGTTCAAAGAAGGCGGGTTTTGCATAGACCTGCAGGCTTCATTCGTATGGAGACGACGGTCTTCCAAGAAGGATGGTCTTCGATCAGACCTACAGGATTCATTCGTATGGGGACCACGGGATTCCAAGAAGGACAGTCTTCGCTCAGACCTATAGGCTTTATTCGTATGGAGACCACGAGGCTCGAAGAAGTACGGACTTCGCTCAGACCTACAGGCTTCATTCGCATGGAGACCACTGGTCTTCGAAGAAGGACGGTCTTCGAAGAAGGACGGTCTTCGATTATACAGGCTTCATTTGTATGGGGTTCGAAGAAGGAAACAAAGAATGTAGGTCATAGAGAGTTCGTGGACTGGTGCTGCAGAATCACAAAGAACTGTACCAAATAACAGAATTACCATCAATTGAAGACTTTCAACAGTAGTGACAACGAAAATGGATAGGCGTATGGAACTCGAAGAGAAAATAATGACATAATCAAGACGTTGTCATTCCAAGCTAATTCAAACAAAAAGTTATGAAGGAATCCCCCATCAATTGTGGAAAGATCAATAACAGTTGCTGGACTTGTGAAAAATATTTTTCTGAATAATTGTTTTAATAGAAAAATTGTATAAATCGTAACTAATGGTAGAATTGGTTGATCAGTCAATAAACACAGAATGTTTCCTTATACGGAAACGGCTAATATTACCATTACCATTGGAGATTAGTATATATATTTTAATATATCTTAGTATTTTTATTACTTCAAATGTTATTTATAGTGGATACCCGTGCTTGAAATAAACGTCTTTTTTTGTTTTGTTTCCTAATTTTATTTTAAGCAGTTTCTATTCCGTCTGTCGACTTGTAAACTCTAGAAAACTTAAAGAAAACGTGGTCTCCGACAGGGTACGAGCTTGAATCTCCCTTTGTCGAAGAAACGACGCGTGTTCAAACCCTGTCGGGAGTACTTTTTCTCTAGTACAGGTCGGTAGACGTGACATACACTGTTTAAAACTAAACAAAACAAAAAAACGGCTGTCTATTTCAAACACTGATATCCGCTAAATATAACATTTGAAGTAATCTAAATGTCGGATGAAAAAATCCATTATATATATATATATATATATATATATATATATATATATATATATATATATATAAGGTTCATTAAAAATTACTGACAATGTACTGAGTTTAAGTTTCTTCTTGTCTTATATTTTTCTTTTCTGGACATAAATTATTTAAAAATTATCTAAATCTTTTGTATGTCCGAGCGCTTTCGGCCATACCTTTAGACATTGTTAAGGTTGATTTTATATTTCATTTTAACTGAATGTATGGATTGCTTTGTGCAAAGTTATAGGAATGTTGTATTTTCTAAACATGGTCAGCACATTGTGGCCGTGTTCATAGTTGATATTACTGAGCGCTGGCGTTTTCATTTTTTTTAATAATGATGTTTCCATTATATTTAGCCTTTCTTTACATGTGGATAATGTTATTATATTTGTATTATCAACGGGTATGTCTCGGATAGAGTTTGGTAGGTCGCCATGTGTATTTAAATGAGACCTAATTGAGCTATGGTTAGAGAGATGTCAAGTGAGTCTTCATGTTAGGCACGTTGTAATATATCCAATATAATTAATTAGGAATTTAGATTGAACAAGAAGACCGTTCATGAAGGGATATGTAAATTCGTAAATAATATTAGTTCTTGACTAAAAAATATTTAATGATTTAAATTCTCCGAAGACTCTTTAATTAATATAAATATTAAGACTTATAAAAAAGAATTTACCGAAATTTCATAAAATACGTGTATAGCTGGCCACTTCTATTCGAGGAGACCCGTCTACTAGAGCGGCTAGCCAATCCCTATTGCAGACGCTTGCTCAGGCGCATTTGTGTTTATTCAACACCCAGAGCCCAACTCTGGTTTATACTGCAACTATGCTGAGCAGACCTTAGTTGCAGTTTCTGGGAAAGAACGTATTATCTAGCGTGATCAACAATTTGAACAATGCCAGCACGCTCAAGCCCTCGGCCACGATGACTTCTGACCTCGTGCTAGCACAGCTATCGACGGTACCCAATGGTTCTGTCTATCCAATTTCACTCACAAGGCTTGGGTCAACCCGTGGCATAGTTTTCAGTTACTTTTCAAAGCTGCCGCACGCTGGGATCGACCCCTCCAGTCCGATAACATCAGGAAGTCTCTTTCCTGACAAATCGACCATGGTGAGATTCGAACACGAGTCTCATGGTCAGAATGCGATGTTGCATTTAAATCGAGTAATTATCATATTTTTGAAATAATTTCCAAATCAATGGGTTTTGCTCCGCAAATAAAGGCTAAAATTTGCCATACGAATTTATAACCACCCGATGACGCAAGAATAAAAAAGTTAAACAAAGTTCTGACAAATAAAAAAGTATAGTTTTATAATTAAAAAAATCCTTTGTATTTTTACTCTTAATAATAAAATAAAGATTTTGACGATAAATATATATATATATATATATATATATATATATATATATATATATATATATATATATATATATAAGAGAGAGAAGAAGGGGGAACGAGGTTAATGTAGATAGAGAAAGAGATAAGCATTGAAACACACTAATAAATGATCTCTGTCTACTCAAATCGTCAATGAATGGATCTGGCTGACGGCGAGATGTCAGAGAAGCAATTAGGGAGAAGAGAGCTTTGCCCTTGTAGTTAGCGGCCAGACAGTCTTCTAATCTAAATAAATCAATAAGATGTTGACCATATGCCAGTCGAAACGAACAGTTCGGCAGGCCTCGGTCGGATCTAAAGCTTTCGAAAACTCAGCCTCTTCCTGTATTCTGCGCTCAAATGAAATGTCTTGGTATGATTGCCTTTGGATTAATAGCCATTAATATCAGAATATAAAATAAAATAAATTACTGAGATGTATCAAAATTAGTTTTGAACTACACAGTCTCGCTTTACACGCCCACATTTTTCGTTTTTATCTATATGGTATCATTCGATGATCTTAGCTCTTCTGTAAGTTTTTGGGCGCTGGGGGTCAGGTTCTGTTCTTTCTCTCTCTATCTCTCCCAATCTTGCTCATTCTCTCTCACCTGCTCTATGCCACTCTCTCACCCTCAAATATTCTCTTCCTCTCTCTTTCTATGACCCTCACCTTCTCTCTCTCTCTCTCTCTCTGTGTTCATTCTCTTTCACCCTCTTTCTTGCCTTCTCTCTCACCTTCACTCTCTCTCACACTCTCACTCTCAACTTTCTTTCTCTTACCCGCTCTCTCACCTTTTCTCTCACATTCACTCCATCTCACCTTCTTTCTCTCCCGCCCGCTCACCCTCTCCTAACTCATTCTCTCTTACCCTTTCTCCCATCCTATCTCTCCCATCCTCTCTCTCTTCCATCCTCTCTCTCTCTCTCTCCCACCGTCACTCTCTCTCATCCTCTCTCACTTACCATCACTCTCTTTTTCTCATTCTTTCAGAAAGTGAGTAATCATTGTTCTCCACATATTTATATCCCTTATTCCCAATCACAAATATCATCATCGGTCCCATGAGAGTAGTGCCATTGTGCAGCTGAGAACCTGACCAGTTCACCGCACCTCTCTCTAACAATGTTCGGACAGATTAAAATTGAGATATCATATTCTCCCTATCTATCTATCTATCTATCTATCTATCTATCTATCTATCTATCTATCTGAGTCTGTTCATATCTATCTATCCATCTATCTGAACCTGTTCATATCTATCTATCTATCTATCTATCTATCTATCTATCTATCTATCTATCTATCTATCTATCTGAGTCTGTTCATATCTATATATCCATCTATCTGAACCTGTTCATATCTATCTATCTATCTATCTATCTATCTATCTATCTATCTATCTATCTATCTGTGTCTGTTCATATCTATCTATCTATCTATCTATCTATCTATCTATCTATTTGAGTCTGTTCATATCTATCTATCCATCTATCTGAACCTGTTCATATCTATCTATCTATCTATCTATCTATATGTGTCTGTTCATTATCTATCTATCTATCTATCTATCTATCTATCCATCTATCTATCTATCTATCTATCTATGCTTACGAGGATATCACATTGAAACACCAGTTCACGTAAGATCTGACGTTAAGTAACGTAAAGCCTGGTCAGTACGTAGATGGGTGACCGCTTGGGAATACCTTGTGTTGTAATCTTGGATGTGTGGGTGGTTTAATGGATAAAGCCTTGAAACTGTTAATCGGAGAGCCGAGTTCCAATTTCATTTGGGTTCGTCATATTCACTTATGCGCAAGTGCCATTCAGAAAGGCATGAATCCACCTCTTCTCCTGCTAGTTCCCGGTTAATTAGACAGGCTTCTTTTATGCGCCGTGTCTCTTCAGGACGTAGATGATCATGGCCCTCCACTTCCCTTGTAGCTCTCAATAGGTTGTGTCCCTTTTACTGTTCTGGCATCCACTTGCTTAAGCCCGCTACTTACGTCACGCATTGCTTTCCTTTGTCCCTCTTTCCCTCTATTCGCCCTGTAAGTATCAGATTCTCCAAGCCCTCCTTAATCATTACGTGTCCCAGAAAATTCAGCTTCCTCCTTGTTTGCGTCCTTTTTAAAACCTCATCGTTGCTCACATGTTCGGTCCATGATATCCTTAGCATCCTTCTGTAGAACCATACCTCCGTTGCCACGAGTCTCTTCTTCATCTTTCAGTAGACCGCCCAACATTCGCTGCCGTAAAGGAGAACAGATCTCACAGTACTCTTTTCTTTGTTACCAAAGAGATTGCCCTGCCTCGTAATAGCTTTTGGAACGCATCTTTGGCCATCCCAATACGTCTTCGGATCTCAACGTCGCACTTACCGTCCTCTGTCAAAACACTTCCCAGATATTTAAATTTCCACGCCTGCTTGATTTTATGTCCATGCATTCTGTCTTCTTGTACTTTATGCTTAGTCCTTTCTTCTCGCTCTCCTTTGCTACCTTTCTGTAGGAGGTTTTGTAATTTCCTTTCGTGTCTGCTATCAACACTGTATCGTCTGCGTATCTCCAAAAATATAAATCTTACACTCTAAAAATAATTTTTGCCTTTAGATAACCTGCGAATCAATCTAATCAAATCAAAATCCAATTGTATTCATTTATAAGTAGCGTGTCTATGACATATAGACCAAGTGACAGTCATTGTTTCGCGTGTCAAACCACAGCCAATGTTCTTGAAGACTCGCCTTGGTCACGGACAGCGGCCGTCTATTTCCTTGGCTGTTACCTTTTAAAAACTTCAACCCAACGATGTGTCAAACCACTGGCAATACATTCTTGATTGTGTTACATGACCGAGAGTACATGAGGATTTTTGGTTCACAAACGCAGGAATGAAATATAGCAAATAAATGACGTAATAATACAATTGGTAATACGTAGATCCAGAAATGCGATTAATGTAGCAATAATAATATATGATTCTATCGACGTGCTCGAACTGTGACTCCTAAACACTTCCGGTATTCACCGGAATCAGTACAGAAGTACACACTGGCGAGTCCACTTTGTATAAAAGGTGGACCCCCTTAACAAGGACCTTTAGTTGACATTTATCCTCAGTTTAAAACATGACTTCAACCCAACGATGCCGTGGAGACGAATCTAGTCCCATTGTGTTACGACCCTTTGACAATACATGAGGATGCATGAACATTTACCTTCGGTCTGGGAACTATGGAGTCGATAATTATCCCCCATTGTGTTACATGACCCTTGAGAATACATGATGCATCTGCCTTTGATTTTACCTTCGGTCTAGGATTCCGGTGTCATCAGAAATAATTATGGAGGTCTCAAAAATGAATGACAAACGGTCTAGGAAGACTGAAATATATCAGCAAATAAATGGAGACGAATCTAGTCCCATTGACGTAATAATTTACAACCTGAGCGATGCCGTGTCATTGCGCACTGTGCCTAATTGTGTTACAATACCCTTGACAATACAGTTGCATAGATCCAGAAATGCGATTGTCAGCAATACATAATTATATAATCTAGTCCAGTCATGGGAAAACATGAGGATGCATCTGCCTTACATTTATTCGGTCTAGGAAAACATGCGATGCCGTGTCATCAGCGCACTGGCTGCCTACATAATTATGGAGACGAATCTAGTCCCATTGTGTTACATGACCCTTGACAATACATGAGGATGCATCGTGCTCACAACTGTGACTGCCGTGTCATCAGCGCACTGGCTGCCTACATAATTATGGAGACGAATTAGTCCCATTGTGTTACATGACCCTTGACAATACATGAGGATGCATCTGCTTTTACTCTAGGACTTTCAACCAGCGATGCCGTCAGCGCATTCTGCCTACATAATTATGGAGACGAATCTAGTCCCATTGTACATGACCCTTGGCGAGTGAGGATGCATCTGCTTGACATTTTATAAAAAGGGATGGTCATCAGCCACTGGCTGCCTACATAATTATGGAGACGAATCTAGTCCCATTGCCTTGACAATACATTTATCCTCACATTTACCTTCGGTCTAGGAAGACTTCAACCCAGCGATGCCGTGTCATCAGCGCACTGGCTGCCTACATAATTATGGAGACGAATCTAGTCCCATTGTGTTACATGACCCTTGACAATACATGAGGATGCATCTGCCTTGACATTTACCTTCGGTCTAGGAAGACTTCAACCCAGCGATGCCGTGTCATCAGCGCACTGGCTGCCTACATAATTATGGAGACGAATCTAGTCCCATTGTGTTACATGACCCTTGACAATACATGAGGATGCATCTGCTTTTTACCTTCGGTCTAGGAAGACATTTACCGATGCCGTGTCATCAGCGCACTGTCTATAATTATGAGACGAATCTAGTCCCATTGTGTTACATGACCCTTGACAATACATGAGGATGCATCTGCCTTGACACCCAGCGATGCCGTGTCATCAGCGCACTGGCTGCCTACATAATTATGGAGACGAATCTAGTCCCATTGTGTTAATGACCCTTGACAATACATGGGATGACGAATTTTACCTTCGGTCTAGGGAGTCCCATTGCCTTAATTATGGGAGACCTAGTCCCATTGTGTTACAACCCTACAATACATGAGGATGCATCTGCCTTGACATTTACCTTCGGTCTAGGAAGACTTCAACCCAGCGATGCCGTGTCATCAGCGCACTGGCTTACATACGAATGTCCCATTGTGTTACATGACCCTTCAATACATGAGATGAAATTTACCTTCGGTCTCTTCAACCCAGCGATGAATAATAAAACGAATCTAGTCCCATTGTGTTACATGACCCTTGACAATACATGAGGATGAAATTTTAAAATGTGTCATTGGCTGCCCTACGAATCAGTCCCATTGTGTTAATACCCTTGAAATACATGAGGTAATTTACCTTCGGTCTAGGAAGACTTCAAAATTGGTTACATACTGTTGTGGATTCCGGAAATTCGCGGCAAGAATTAAATATAATGAAATCACAATACAATAAATACTGTTATAAATAGGGACGCGGTTATATATAATATATATATATATATATATATATATATATATATATATATATATATATATATATATATATATAGTCTCGAAGTAGGACTTCCTTAGAGTCTACGTGCTTGTAACTGTGACTTCTACAAGCGGTTACCTCACACTATTACTCTACCTCCAACTCAATCACAATCTCTGCTCACTCTCTCTATATTCTGACTGACTGTGTATATTTAACGGCAGCAGTCCAACTAAATCTCTGGTCGAGTCCACTAATATAAAAAAGGGGAGGAAGCCATAACACATACATCACTATGGAGTCGAGTCTAGTCCCATTGTGTTACATGACCCTTGACTGTACGTGAAGATGCATCCGAGCTTAGTACGTTCTCAGAATTATCAAGTAGATTATTGGCTGCTCTCCCCTGATTCTCTTTTTCTTTCTTTCAATCGTCTTAATAAATCCACTAAGACGCGGTGGCTTTTTGAGTGATAGAGAATGTGAGAAAAATCATTATTAAGTTGAGATAACAATAAAGGAATCAGATGATAACATCACATTTAAATATTTTGAAAACAAAGTTGACTGGGAAGCTAGAAGCAAGTGTTCCACCGGCGAGAAGTGCGATAGAAGAAACTGTTAGTATAGAACTTACGGTTACAGCTCGCCATTTCGTCTTTAAAATACTGAAACCTTTCTGCCACGACTGCGCTTAAATTCATAAATTCTAGGTAGCATAAAGGAAAGCTTGACAGAACAATTTCCATGAAAGGATTTATTGAAAGTCACAGTGAAGCCACATTACGGCGGTTGGAAAGGGACCGAAGCCGAGATGCTAGATCAAGACCAATAACATTTGCAGATTCTTTGGATTTTATCAAGAATCTCTAAATATGTAGCAGCAGTACCAGACCAGATGTGGCAACAGTATTTGGCTTGGTTTGGTTTGAAATCGATCTTACGAGAGCATTACAGATAATTATTATACACAGCTGAGCATAGTCTGGCACAAGGTTAATGTGAGCTAATTAAACTTACTACAGCAATGTATGTTATTACTAAACTTAGGTTAGTCTGGCCTAAGGCTCCATGTATGAGTCGGTTATGGGACTAGTACTTGCTACAATGGTCCACGAGACTGATTTGCCAAACACCGCTGCAATAATCATTTTAATTATCTCAGATAAAAATAGACACAAGTCCAAAATAACTCAATTATTAAAACAGTACCAAGAATAATTCCTTCTCGTCGTTTGTGGGTGGAGGTCACAAGGTCAGTTACCCCGGACCGGATTGTTGCAGTTTGTATTGATTTCTATGTTATTTGATCTCTGTGTTTACGATGTGAAGAACAAGTGGGGTTAAGCGAACGGGAAAGGAAAGACAGGACGCCTGTTGAATGTCTTTTAACCCTGACGACTTTTGAACTCTGACCTTAGACCTGAATAGAGATCTTGCTTTCAGATCATCTCTTTTATCCAGAGAGCCATCTTTAACTTGTAATTAACGTAAACATCGGTATTAAGGACCCAGTGGTTTTACAAAATGAGCCATCAATGATTAAAAGAAGATTAACACTGTGATATCAAATACTTACAAAGTAGGAAAGTAAATCGATAATTAATATATGACTTACAAGTGTACAAAAAATGATGCCGCCAAGAAATAAAATATTGC